TAGGCTTTATAGTGGAAAAAAGACGTCAAATTGCAAATTTGAAGATGTATAATTACTAAAGCTTAAGAGAGAATCTTGTAGTATAAGTAGTAAAGCTACATTAGCAGTTCTATCAAAACTGTCCTTTTATCAGGCATTATACTTATTAAGGAGGTTAAAATTATAGGGGTTAACTGTAGATTTATGTTTTTAAGAGGTGTTCTTAGAAGATTAAATCTTAGATTAGAAGAAGGTGTCTACTTGAATAGGTTGAGATAGGCTTAAAGTTTGATTCTTGCTTGAACTTTTATTTTATAATTAGGGTATATGTGTATCTTGGTGGGAAAGAAGTAAATATAATAGAGATAATTTATAATAAGTCGTAGTTTTGTTATTCGCAGTATGGAAGATTAAATATTGGTTTAGGGTCCGATTTAGTAAATTATAAAAAGTTTGATGAAATTTTGTGCCAGCAATCGCGGTTAGACTTAAAAGCTTAGTAAAGGTGTTTTAGTTTAGGTTATTCTTATGTTTAAAGGTAAATTGAAATTTATAGTAATAAAAGGTGAAATTGGTTTATTAGGAATAAATGGAAATTGGATTATAAATAGGAGGAGACTCGGAAATTAAGGTATAAACTAGGATTAGATACCCTATTATACTTAAAGGATAAAAATAAAACTTGAATATTAATAGATATGGTCTTTAAATTCAAAGAATTTGGCGGTATTTTAGTCTTGTTAGAGGAACCTGTTCTGTAAATGATACAACACGAAAAATCTTACTTACTCTTGTTTAGCAGTTTGTATACCGTCATTATCAGATAACCTTTGTTGAGGTAGTTATTGAAATTTGAGAAGTAAAGTATATTAGATCAAGGTGCAGTTTATGGGTGAGAAGAAATGGGTTACAATAAAATTTATTTATTACGAATCAGTAAAAGAATAGTTTCTGTGAAGGGGGATTTAATTGTAATACATAATTTAGTAAGTTAGTGTGATATGAGAACTAAAGTATGTACATATCGCCCGTCGCTTCCGCTTAAGGTGGAATAAGTCGTAACATAGTAGGTGTACTGGAAGGTGTACCTGGAACTAAATTTACTTTGGCAGAGGATATGCGTTAAATTTAGAATTTAATTATATAGAAGAGCACTCTATAGGTAAAAGTATTGAGGACAGTGCTGTGGTTATTAGAATTGTGAGATATTTAATGTTGATAGTTTGTGTTTTAGTTAGAGTGGCATTTGTAACTCTCTTGGAGCGTAAGATTTTAGGTTATATTCAAATTCGTAAGGGTCCTAATAAATTGGGCATTCTGGGGTTACTTCAGCCTTTTTCGGATGCTATTAAATTGTTTGTAAAAGAGCAGAATTCACCGGTAATATCTAATTTTTTACCTTATTATTTGTCGCCGGTATTCAGTTTATTTATTGCTTTAATTTTGTGAGGGGTTATTCCCTATGATTTAGGATTAGTGGATTTTGATATAGGAATGTTATTTTTTTTATGTTGTTTGAGATTAAGGGTCTATCCTTTGTTAAGGGCCGGATGGGCTTCAAATTGTAAATATTCTTTATTAGGGAGTCTTCGTGCTGTAGCACAGACTATTTCATATGAGGTAAGGTTAGCTTTAATTTTGTTATCCTATGTGTTTTTAGTTGGAAGATTTAGGTTCATAGAATTGAGATATTATCAGGAAAGAATGTGGTTTGTTTGATTAACATTTCCATTATCTATAGTTTGGCTTGGTTCTTGTTTGGCAGAGATAAATCGCACTCCTTTTGATTTTGCAGAAGGGGAGTCTGAGTTGGTTTCTGGGTTTAATACTGAGTATAGGAGAGGAGGGTTTGTATTAATTTTTATAGCTGAATATGTTAGAATTTTGTTTATGAGTGGAGTGTCAACATTGTTGTTTTTAGGAGGGAGAGTTTTAAGGTTAGGATTTTATATAAAATTGGTGATGGTAGGGTTTACGTTTATTTGAGTGCGGGGGACTTTACCGCGACTGCGATACGATAAATTGATGTATATGGCTTGAAAAAGGTTTCTTCCTATATCTTTAAATTTTTTAATTTTTTTCCTTAGGCTAAAATTAATTTTAGTGTAAACTAAATTTATATGTTGATGGGTACTGGAAGATTCTTCCTTTAAATGCTTTCAAAACATTTGTTTTAAATAAACTAAATAGCCATTTTAGAAGAAGGTCTGTTAAAAGGGTAGCCAAAGGGTCAGTAATATAATAGGAAAAGTAGATGACAGTTAGAGCTTGACCTGTGAAAATATAAGGATCCTCTACAGACCGAGCTCCGATCCATGTTAATAAAATGATTGTGGAGATAAGAGTTCAAAATAGAAGCTGGTTTAAAGGATAAAAGGTAAGGCCTCGGAATTTTGATAGGGAGGTGAATGGGAGGAATCAAAGGATCGCAACTGATAATATTAAAGCGATAACCCCTCCTAATTTGTTTGGGATGGATCGAAGGATGGCGTATGCAAATAGAAAATATCATTCAGGTTGAATATGCACTGGTGTAATTAGAGGGTTAGCCGGGGTAAAATTATCAGGGTCTCCGAGTAAGTATGGGTTTAGGAGAGTTAGGAGGACTAGGAGTATAAGTATGATTAGGAACCCTACAATATCTTTAAATGTAAAGTAGGGGTGGAAGGGGATTTTGTCTAGAGAGGAGGTTACTCCTAAAGGGTTGTTGGCTCCAGAGTGGTGGATGAATAAAATATGGACGAGTGTGGCTGCAGCAATTAGAAATGGCAGCAGAAAGTGGAATGTAAAGAATCGAGTTAAGGTGGCGTTATCAACTGCGAACCCTCCCCAAATTCATTGGACTAAATCTGTGCCAATATAGGGAATGGCAGAAAATAAGTTTGTAATAACGGTGGCACCCCAAAACGATATTTGTCCTCAAGGTAGGACATAACCTAGAAAAGCTGTGGCTATTGTTAAAAACAGAATTAGAACGCCAATTCTCCAAGCGTGGAAAAGAGCAAATGACCCATAATAAAGACCTCGTCCGATGTGGGAGTAGATACAGATAAAGAAAAAGGAGGCCCCATTTGCATGAAGGGTGCGGAACAATCACCCGTAATTAACATCACGACAGATGTGGGCTACGTTCGAAAAAGCTAGGTCAATATGCGGGGTAAAATGAATTGACAAAAATAGTCCGGTTGCGATCTGAGCTACTAGACATAACCCTAAGAGGGACCCGAAATTTCAAAAAATTGAGATGTTAGTAGGAATTGGTATATCTACGAGTGCGGAATTAACGAGTTTAAGCAAAGGATGGGATTTACGTAAAGGCGAAGTCATAAGTTTTGGGAGAGTGAAGATTAGAGTAATTAAAGAGGAGATAAGGGTGTATGATGGTATTAGGTATTGAGGGTTTTGGGTTGTTAACTATAGTTTTTTGTGGGTTCTGAGCGTTTATCTCGAATCATAAGCATTTGTTGAATGTTTTACTAAGGTTGGAATTTATTATATTAAATGTGTTTGGGATTATGAGAGTTTACACGTTCAGGGTTGGGTTAGAGGGTGTGTTTGTAATATTTTTTTTAGTGATGGTTGCGTGTGAAGGGGCTTTAGGTTTATCTTTATTGGTCTCTATTGTTCGCTCACATGGTAATGATTATTTTAGGGGATTTGGAATTTTAGTATGTTAAAGTTTTTGGTGTTTAATTTGGTTTTAATGGGGCTTGTGAGGAATTGAAGGCTTATTCAGGTGGGTTTATTGATAATATGCTTTATGGGATTGTTAATAATAAACCATGATTTTTGTTCTTTTTGTTTGGGCTATATAATGAGGGTTGATTATTTAAGATATATTTTGATTGTATTAAGAGTTTGGATTGTAATATTAATAGTTTTCAGGAGAACTGTAGTAAAGAAAATAGGTAATTTTTGTGTGGGGTTTTTGTCAGTGAATTTGATTTTGTTAATAGTTTTGATCTTAACTTTTAGATCAGTAAATTATTTAATGTTCTACATTAGATTTGAGAGCTCATTGGTTCCCATACTTGTATTAATTTTGGGTTGAGGTTATCAACCTGAGCGAATTCAGGCTGGAATTTATATATTGTTCTATACTTTATTTGCTTCTTTGCCATTGTTAGCTTCTTTATTGAGGTTATATAAAAGTGAAGGGAGATTAAACATGGGATTGTTACTATCAGGAGTAATTGGCTATCAGAGGACTAGGTTGCTGTGGTATTTTTGTTCTGTGTTAGCGTTTATGGTTAAATTACCTTTGTTTATATTTCATTTATGGTTGCCTAAGGCCCATGTGGAGGCCCCGGTTGCGGGGTCGATAGTATTGGCCGGGGTGTTATTGAAGTTAGGAGGTTACGGTTTAATCCGGATTTTGGGGGTGTTTTCAGAGGTAAATAAAATATTTTGTTGGGTGTGAGTGAGTCTTGGAATTCTAGGAGGTGTTATTATTAGTTTAATATGTTTGCGTCAAGTGGATATGAAATCATTAATTGCTTATTCTTCTGTGGCTCATATGGGTTTAGTGTTAAGAGGGTTGGTTGTTATAGGAGGGTGGGGTTTAAATGGGGCTGTAGTAGTGATGGTAGGTCATGGTTTATGTTCTTCAGGTTTATTTTGTTTAGCAAATATAGTTTATGAGCGGTTAGGGAGGCGAAGTTTGATAATTAGGAAAGGGTTGCTAAATGTTATGCCGAATATAGGTTTATGGTGGTTTTTATTAGTTGCAGGAAATATAGCTGCTCCCCCAACTTTAAATTTAATAGGAGAGATTAGTTTAATTATTAGAGTGGTTAGATGAAGGAAATTAATTATATTTAGAGTAGGGATATTGTCTTTTTTCAGGGCTTGTTATACTTTATATATGTATTCATTAAGGCAGCATGGGTTATTTTTAAATGCCTTATTTTCTTGTTGTTCTGGAAAGGTAGTGGAGTATTTTGTCTTGTTAATGCATAGTGTTCCGTTAAATATCATGATTGTGAAGGGTTCATTAATTTTGTGTGATCTATAGGATAAGGTGGCTGAGGTTAAAGGCGTTGGATTGTAAATCTGAGTAGAAGTTGTACTTTCTTATCAATTAAAGGTAAGATTTAAAAGATTATTACTTTTTTTGACAGCTTTGAAGGATGTTAGTTTGAATTAACTTAAAATCTTAGATAACTAAAAGTATGGATGGGATAAGAAGTCCGAATAAATTGATTGAGGTGTACAAGGGAGATGGGAGGATTTTAAGGGGTTTAAGGGGGATGTCTCATTTTATTTGGGCAGAGGAAATTGAGATAGAGGATAAAGTAATTCGGATGTAAAAGTAAAGAGTTACTAGAGAAGAAAGAAGGAGAATAAATAAAGGTAAGTAGAAGGATGATTGAATTATTTCTTGGGTAATAATTCATTTAGGAATAAAACCTGAAAAAGGCGGTAGGCCTCCTAGAGAATAAAGGTTTATAGACGAGATGATTTTGGGGAGGGGACCATAATTTGCGTTAATTAAGTGAGGAAAAAAATATGTCTGGGCGGATGCGAAGTGGAAGGCCACAGAAGCCGAGATTAGAGTGTATATAAGAAAGTAAATTATTCAGGAGGTCTCATTAATAAGCATGGCGAAAAGTATTCATGATAGATGATTGATAGATGAGTAGGTCAAGATTTTTCGGAGGGATGTCTGATTGATTCCCCCTAGTGCTCCAATAATAGCAGAAGAGATCCCACCAAAAAAAAGAAGCATGTGTGTGTAATATTCTGAGGATAAGTAAGAGATCAAGAATATTGGGGCAAGTTTTTGGATTGTTATGAGAATAATAGCTTGGGTTCAATTAAGACCTTCTATGACTTGGGGAAATCAAAAATGGAATGGGGCAGCTCCTAGTTTAAGGAGAAGAGCTAAGGAAATAAATGAGAGCGAGATTATTGGAATAAAAAATGTTAAGGTTGAAGATAAAATAATGATGGCTGATCCAAGGGCCTGGATTAAGAAATATTTCAAGGAGGCTTCAGATGGAAGCTGATTTTCTTTTGATGAGATTAAAGGGATGAATGATATAAGATTAAGTTCAAGACCAATTCAGGCTGAAAATCACGAGGAAGAAGAAACGACCAGGAAGGACCCAGACAAAAGTGAGAACATAAAAATGATTTTATAAGGTGAGAATGAAATTATAAAGAGAGATTACTCTCATAAATGAGGTATGAGCCCATTAGCTTGAAACTTAGCTTATCTTTATAGTATATGTAGAAGTGTACAGGGCACGAAAAGGTTTGATCTTTCGGGGATTGGTGCGATTCCAATTTACATAAAGAGTGTTAGGGATTAAAAGGGGTAAGGGTAGAGGTTGGTCTTAAAGTATCTTGAATTCCTCTTTGAATATCTGTTGTTCTTAGAAGATTTAAGAGGGAAGAGGAGTAAGCTGTCTAAAAAATAAAATGAAAAAGCATGTAAAGGGGGTGTATTTTTTATTTTAGTATATATATATATACATTTCTTTATATGGAAGTGGTGTATTGAGTATAATTGTATGAGTGAGCTGATTTTATCTATACTGAAGCAGAACGATGATATTGAGCTCTACCGATTAATACACCTATAAGTAGAACCCTTCGTGAGAAAGGGGATTCTACTTATAGCTGTATTAATCGGCTCCTTCTAGATTCCCCCATTTTCACGAAGATATTCCTAACAGACGATCATTGAAGAAGATAAAATGAAGCTGTTACTTCTTTATATTAATTTTCGAAGAGATACACTGAGAAAGAGACATGAGTGTCAGTTGATTATAGCAATAAACTAACTAATGAGAGTGTTTGATATATACAGATTTATTGTTATGTGCTAGCTTCAAGTATATAAACACTTAAATGAGATAGATAATAACCTGTGCGAAGATACACTATGAGTATTATATATATAGATTAATGGATTATAGCAGTGAACTAACTAATAAAGTGGCTTGATATATATATATATTATAAATTATACTAACTTCAGGCATATAAATACTTAAGTGATATAGATAATAACCTATGTGCAGATACACTATGAATACCATATATATACTAATGGTTTATATGATTTACGAGATTATGAATGATTCGAGAAGGATTTACATTTAAAGAAATGTATATATATATGGACATTAAGGAGGATGGGAGAATTTGTAAAATTAAATACGCAGTTTTTATGATGATCGAAGTTTATTTGTTTGAGAGATTAAAGATGTAGATTCAAAGTAAAGCTAAAGATTAGCATTTCACTTACGTTGAAAAGGTTGTCGCAAGGGTGACTTATTTTGGTTGTTATGAAGACTTGCTAATTATTATGATTAGGAAAAATATTTTTAGGTTTAAGTAGGTAACTAAGGAAATAATAGTTTGGCGATAGATAATAGTACTGTACAGGAAAGTTGAAATATTCTAGTGAAATAGATGGGAAGTATTAGTTAAATTAAGTACCTTGTGTATTAGGGATATTTTACATTAAATATTTATAATATCTTCCCGAAATAAGAAGAGCTAAATTAAAGGTCGAGTTTTTGTGGTAAAAAAATTCAAAACCTTATTTTAGTAGTGAAATGTTAATCGAGTCTTAAGATATCTGGTTTTTTTTTGAAAAAAATTCAATTTTTTCTTTGCATTAAGGTAAGGCAAGGCTTAGGAACAGAGGGGGCTAGCTCTTTGTTTAATTATTTTAGTTATAAAAATAAATAGAAAGGTATGTTTAACTAGGCTTAGGGGTAGCTATGTTTACAGGGAGTTATATCTGAAATACAAGGAGAGAAGTATTTATTATTTTTTAAGTAGGTAGGAAAGACTTTTTATGAATTTAGTTTAAAGATTTAAAGTGAGTATATTAGTATATAATTTGTTTGTTTTAAATAAATTTTGGAGAATTAATGAGATTTATTGAAGGGGTGATGAGTGTAAGGAATTCGGCAAATAGGGCTCTTCCGCCTGTTTATCAAAAACATGTCTGTATGAGAGTTATATAAAGTCTGACCTGCCCATTGGGGACTAAAAGGCCGCGGTATTTTGACCGTGCGAAGGTAGCATAATCATTAGTCTTTTAATTGGAGGCTGGAATGAATGGTTGGACGAGAAGGAAGCTGTCTCTATCTCGGAGATTGAATTTAACTTTTAAGTGAAAAGGCTTAAATAAGTTAGAGGGACGATAAGACCCTATAAAGTTTATACATGAAGTTGGTTAAGAGTGATTTAAGGTGTTAAAGTTTATTATCAGCAGGGTGTTTAGTTGGGGCGACTAGGATATAAATTATATAACTGTTTTTTGTTTAAATCAGAGATATTTGTTCATATGATCCCTTTTTAGGATTAGAGAATAAATTACTTTAGGGATAACAGCGTAATTTTTTTTAAGAGTTCTTATCGACAAGAGAGTTTGCGACCTCGATGTTGAATTAAAAATTTCTCTGTGGTGTAGCGGTTACAGGAGAAGGTCTGTTCGACCTTTAAATTTTTACATGATTTGAGTTCAGACCGGCGAAAGCCAGGTTGGTTTCTATCTTCTAAGGAGTCAGAGGTTATTTTAGTACGAAAGGATTAAGTAATTGAAATAGTTTTAATAAAAAATCAGAAAAAAGCAGGGACTTTTCTTTAATCTCCAAAATTAATATTTTAAGTAAACTATTTTCTGTTAGAATTTTGAAGGTCGCAGAGGTCTTGATGAGATATTAATAATACTGACAATAACAATTAAGGTAAGTAAGAGATATAAAATTACTAGAGTAGTAAGAGGGAAAGAAGTAATGGAGTAGATGGAACTGGTTGATAAGGTGGCTAAATTTGTTTTATTTCTTAGAATTAAGAATAGTCTAGATTTGGAAAATTTTGATGGGAGAAGTAAGAGATCTAGAAAGATTAAGGTAAAGGATATGGGTAAGGACAGGGTGATTAGTAGACTGGATTTAAAATGAATTTTAAAGGCTTCGTTGGAAGCAAGAGAAGAGACATAAATGAACAAAATTAATATTCCTCCTAGAAAAATTAGAAATAGGATATATGAGAATCAGTAGGAAGGCCCGAATAGGCCTGAAAGAGCACAGATAAGAATAGTTTGAGTGAGTAGGACTAGTCCTATGGAAAGAGGGTGGGTTAGAGTCGTGAATAGGATAGCAACTCTTAGGGTAAAAGGGAGAGTGAAATATAAAATATTATAACTGATTTTGTATAAAGTTCTAAAAATGGGCTTTATCTTTGGTTTACAAGACCAAGATTTTTTGTTTAAACTACTAGAACCTTTCAATTTAAATAGTTTAGAGTAAAACATCGGGTTGTGGTATCGAAGATATAAGAAAGTTATTTTAAATCATGATGTGGGGTGCCTATAGTCATTTAGTGAGTTTAGTGTTTTTGTTATTTAGGGCATTGGGTTTTATTTTATTTAGTTTGGTGAGAATAAGCTTGAGGTCTTCTTATGTAATTGAGTGAGAGCTTTTTTCTTTAAATTCTTCCTCTGTTGTAGTGACTTTGATTTATGATTGAGTAAGGTTCTTATTTTTAGGGGTGGTTTTATTTATCTCCTCTACGGTAATATACTATAGGGGGGATTATATGAGCGGGGATAAGAGGTACAGGCGATTTATATATTTAGTTTTTGGTTTTGTTTTATCTATAGGGGCTTTGATTATTAGCCCGAATTTAATTAGAATCCTTTTAGGTTGGGATGGATTGGGGTTAATTTCTTATGTATTGGTAATTTATTACCAAAACGAGAAATCAGCTAATGCAGGTATATTGACAGTTTTGTCAAATCGGATTGGAGACGTTGGGATTTTATTGAGTATTTCTTTATTTTTTATGCTAGGGGGTTGAAATTTTATTTTTTATGAAAGGTATTTGAGTGGGAATTTTTTATTATTGAAAATTTTAGTGTGTGTTGCTGCTATAACTAAGAGAGCTCAAATTCCGTTCTCGGCTTGACTTCCAGCAGCTATAGCTGCTCCTACTCCAGTTTCAGCTTTAGTTCATTCTTCAACACTAGTTACAGCTGGCGTTTATATTTTGATTCGCTTTAGTGGGGCTTTAAGAGGTTCATGTGTACAAAGGGTTTTGTTGATTGTTTCCTGCTTAACCATATTTATAGCGGGCTTGGGGGCTAATTTTGAGTTTGATTTGAAAAAAATTATTGCCTTGTCAACTTTGAGGCAATTGGGCGTGATAGTGAGTATTTTATCTTTAGGGTTTGCTGATTTAGCTTTTTTTCATTTATTAACTCATGCTTTATTTAAGGCTTTACTGTTTATGTGTGCGGGGATGGTAATTCATAGAGTTAAAGAGTGTCAAGATATTCGTAATATGGGTAGGTTAGTGACATGTATACCTTTAACTAGGGTTTGCATGAATTTAGCTAACCTGGCTCTATGTGGGATACCTTTCTTGGCTGGATTTTATTCTAAAGATTTAATTTTAGAAGTTGCATTTATAAGGGAAGTTAATATTTTTAGATTTTTTTTATATGTTTTGAGTACTGGTTTAACAGTATGTTATACATTTCGATTAATTTACTATAGAATAAGAAGGTTTTCTAATATAAGGTCTGTAATAATTGTCAGGGAAAACCATAGAAAAATGTTAAAAGGAATAATGACATTAAGGGTTGGGGCGGTAACAAGGGGGTGTGTATTAGCTTGAGTAGTGTTCCCAGAGTTCTATATGATTTGTTTGAGGGTTTCTTTAAAAATTTTAGCTTTATTAGTGAGGAGGTTAGGGGCCCTTTTAGGGTATATTGTTAACATGGTTGGATCAAGGACTAGTTTAAAGACTGTCAAGTTTTATTCTTATACTATGTTTGCAAGGTCTATGTGGTTTATGCCGATTTTGTCGACTTTTAGGGCACCCCGTTGAAGACTAAGGAGTGCGGAGTCTTTTTTTAAGATTGGAGATAAAGGTTGGTCAGAATATTTTGGGGGTGAGGGAGGATTTGGCGAGGTGATAAAAGGTTCTATTTACTTACAGTTAAGACAAGATAATATGATTATAGTTTATATAAAAGGATTTTTTATTTGAATTATTGTCGTGTTTTTTATTTTTATTTAATAATAACCTATATATTTTAAATTAGAATTTTGCATTGAAGCTGCAAAGGTGGTTATTAGCCTATAGGTGATATTTTTAGAAGGGAAATCTTCAGTTTTACATTGAAAATGTAATGTGTTTTTTACACTATAAAAAAGAGAAGTGAACGGAATTCAACCGCTCGGGAAATAAGTTAGAAGCTTTTTCACTGACTTAGTTCTCCTTAACAGGAAAAAATTCAATTTTATCATTAACAGTAATATGCCTCTGGTTTTGGCTTCTGTCAAAATAAACTAGAGGTTTGGAACCAAAATTCAGGTCGAAACTAAACGCAATCTTTCGCTTTCTAATTTGAAAAAGGTTTATAAACACTTTATGAATGCAACTCATATGTCATTATTGACTACATTTCCAGTTAGATCATTCTAAGGCACCTTTATACCATTCATAGTAGAGGCCTATGAGAAGGATTAGGAGGAAAAACAATCCTGTAAATCTTCAAGAGAAAATATTTGTAAGGGGAGAGATATGGGCCAGAGGGAGAATTAATGTAATTTCTACATCAAAAATTAGGAAAATCACAGCAATAAGGAAAAATCGAAGCCTAAAAGGTAGCCGAGCTGAAGTCTTAGGATCGAATCCACACTCAAATGGGGATATTTTTTCTCGGTCTATAACGGTTTTTTTCGATAGAATTGAGGATAAGGCTATAATTAAAGTTGTAATTCTGAGAGTGAGAAGAGCGATCAGGTTGGTAGTTAGAATTAATTTTTCTAAACAATTAGACTTTCTAGTTGGAAGCTAGACGTACCGTTAATACTAAAAAATTATCTCCCTCATCAGTAAATAAAAACATAAAGGAATAATCAAACTACATCAACGAAATGTCAATACCAAGCTGCGGCTTCAAATCCAAAGTGGTGGTTGTTAGAGAAGTGACATTTGAATAGGCGATAAAAACAGACTGTTAGGAATGAAGTCCCAATGATCACATGAAGACCGTGGAATCCAGTTGCTACAAAGAAGGTAGTCCCGTAGACTGAGTCTGCGATGGAGAAAGATGCTTCTAAATATTCATATGCTTGAAGGGAGGTGAAGTAAACTCCGAGGAGGATGGTTAATCCTAGACTTTGTATAGCTTCGTAATGGTGTGAGTTAAGGATTGCGTGATGTGTTCAAGTTACTGTTGCTCCCGATGAAAGTAGAATAGTTGTATTAAGAAGGGGAACTTGGAAAGGATTGAAAGGTTGAATACCTCTAGGTGGTCAAAATATTCCGATTTCAATTGTAGGTGCAAGACTTCTATGAAAGAATGCCCAAAAAAATGAGAAGAAAAATAGTACTTCAGAAACGATAAATAAAATTATTCCCCACCGGAGGCCTTTTGTGACGGCTTGGGTATGAAGTCCTTGATATGTTCCCTCTCGAGTTACATCTCGTCACCATTGAATTATAGTTAAAAAGATAGGAATAAATCTGAAAAAGAGGAGGTCTGGATTAAATTGATGAAATCATTTGATGAGCCCTGATGTTAAAAGCATAGCTCTAATTGATCCGGTCAAGGGTCAAGGTCTTATGTCAACTAAATGAAAGGCATGGTGTCTATGTGATGACATTAATTTACTTCACTGGCATAAAGAGTTCTGAGAACTGCAAATACATAGGATTGGATGATTGCAACAGCAGATTCTAATATAAGGAGAAGAATTTGGGCCAGAATGAGAAAAATTAATAGTTTAGGGGATAAAGAGGACCCTATCCTTCCAAGTAAAGTAAGGAGGAGGTGGCCTGCAATTATGTTTGCTGCAAGTCGGATGGCCAATGTGCCTGGTCGAATAATATTCCTAATAGTTTCGATGAGGACTATAAAAGGTATAAGCGTATTTGGGGTCCCTTGAGGCACTAAGTGGGCAAACATGTGCTGGGTGTGGTTTAACCATCCAAACAAAATAAAGGTTAGCCATAAAGGTAGAGCTAAGGTTAGAGTTATTGCCAGATGTCTGGATCTGGTAAAGATATAAGGAAGGAGGCCTAAAGAGTTATTAAAAAGAATGAAGCTAAATAATGAAACAAATAAAAATGATAGGCCTGGGTTAGAAGGTCCTAAGATTGTCTTAAATTCATTGTGAAGGGTTGATACAATTTTAAATCACAGATAAAGTCACCGGGATGGGGAGGTTCAGAAGAGAATCGGAACGAATAGGAACCCTAAGAATGTTGAGACTCAGTTTAGATTAAGTGAAAGGATACATGAGGATGGTTCAAAAATGGAAAACAGTCTTGCTATCATTTTCAGGGTTTTTCTAGAATTGTTGATGTGTGGGTGAAAGTTTCTGTTTTAATTGGAAGTTTACAGAAGAAATTAATGATAAAGAATAAGATATATCCAAGGGTGAATATAAGAAAGAGATTTAGCCAAAGTAGAGGTCCTATTTGAGGCATTCTAAAGTACCATAAGAGTGGTAATTTTAATTTGACAAACTAATGTTATTTTTTAACTAATTTTAGTCTCTAGAAGTAGGAGGACTACTTTTTTAGGTTTAAAAGACCTAAACTTTATAAGTTATCTGGAGAGAAATTTAATTATGAATTTCTAGAAACTCAGTTCAAGAAAGAGTCTACCGAAATTCTTTCAATTAGAATTGGTATAAATCTATGGTTAGCGCCACAAATTTCGGAACATTGACCGTAGAATAGGCCGGGTCGGTTTAGAAGAAACCTAACTTGATTAAGTCGCCCTGGGATGGCGTCGGCTTTTACTCCTAAGGAAGGAATAGTTCAGGAATGGATTACGTCTGCTGCTGAAATGATAAGACGAATTTGAGTATTTAAGGGGATAGGGATTCGGTTGTCAACATCTAAAAGTCGTAAATTTGAGTCTATGTTATAGGGTGCTATGAAGGAATCAAATTCGATATCTAGAAAGTCTGAATATTCGTAGGATCAGTATCATTGATGTCCAATGGTTTTAATTGTGACTCTCGAGTTATTGGTTTCGTCCAATAAGTAGAGTAACCGTAGTGAGGGTATGGCGATGAAGATTAAGATAATAGCAGGTAAAATAGTTCAGATAATTTCAATTTCTTGGTTTTCAAGTAAAAATCGGTTAATAAGTGAGTTTAGTGCTGAATTAATTAGAATATAACCTACTAATGTAGTAATGAGGATGAGAATAAATATTGTGTGATCGTGGAAATACGTTAATTGTTCTATAAGTGGGGAAGCACTGTCTTGGAGTCCTAGACATCCTCATGTTGGCATTTCTAAAAGAAGGCAGTTTCTTCCTGGTAGGAGCTTAAATCCTATACATCTATCTGTCATTTTAGATAGTTAGAAATTAGAGGGGTTTCTGCATATCTGTGGTCAGCGGGTGGGAAAGGGTGCTGCCATTCAATGGACGAAGGTAGGAAGGTCGGAGAAGTAATGTTACGTTTTGATATTAAAGCTTCTCAAACAATAATTATGAATCAAAAAACAGCTACCAATGAAATGAGAGATCCGATGGATGAGATAATATTTCATGCTGCGTAGGCGTCTGGGTAGTCTGAATATCGTCGTGGCATGCCATTTAATCCTAGGAAGTGTTGAGGAAAGAAGGTTAAGTTCACCCCTAAAAATATAGTAAAGAAGTGAGGTTTTAATCATGAAGAATTCAGAGAAAATCCAGTGAATAAAGGGAATCAGTGAACAATACCTCCGAAAATTCCAAATACAGCTCCCATGGATAGAACGTAGTGGAAGTGGGCTACAACGTAATAGGTGTCATGAAGAATAATGTCGATTGAAGAGTTTGCTAAGATAACTCCTGTTAAGCCACCTACTGTAAATAAGAAAATAAAACCTAAGGTTCACAGGAGTGAAGGAGAGTATGAGAATTGAGAGCCTTGGAGAGTTCTTAGTCATCTGAAGATCTTAATTCTTGTGGGAATAGCAATAATTATGGTTGCTGATGTAAAGTATGCTCGGGTGTCTACATCTATACCTACAGTGAATATATGGTGAGCTCACACGAGGAATCCTAGAATTCCAATTGCTGTTATGGCATAGATTATCCCTAGTGTGCCGAATGCTTCTTTTTTGCCTGATTCTTGTGTGACGATGTGTGAGACTATGCCGAAAGCTGGTAGAATTAAGATGTAGACCTCGGGGTGCCCAAAAAATCAGAATAAGTGTTGGTAGAGAATAGGATCTCCCCCGCCAGCAGGGTCAAAGAAAGTAGTGTTTAGATTTCGGTCTGTAAGAAGTATAGTAATTGCTCCTGCTAGAACGGGGAGGGATAAAAGCAGAAGTACTGCAGTAATGAAGACGGATCATACGAATAAGGGTATTCGGTCTATGGATATCCCTCTGGTTCGTATATTGATTGCTGTGGTTATAAAATTTACAGCTCCGAGAATTGAGGAGACTCCGGCCAAATGAAGGGAGAAGATGCCTAGGTCGACTGATGCTCCTGCATGGGCGATTGATGCTGCTAGAGGAGGATAAACTGTCCACCCTGTCCCGACACCTCTCTCTACTATTCCCCTTGTAAGGAGAAGGGAGAGAGAAAATGGTAAAAGTCAGAATCTTATATTATTTATTCGAGGGAAGGCTATATCAGGGGCTCCAAGTATAAGGGGAACTAATCAATTCCCAAAACCCCCAATTGTGATTGGCATAACTATGAAGAAAATCATTACGAAGGCGTGGGCTGTGACGATTACATTATAAATTTGATCGTCTCCGATTAATCTTCCTGGTTGACCAAGTTCGGCTCGAATAATTAGTCTTAGGGAAGTGCCTACTATACCGGATCAGGCTCCGAACACAAAGTATAGAGTACCGATGTCTTTATGATTTGTTGAGAAAAATCATCGTTGCGT